TAACGCACATGGAACCGCAGTGTCCGTCCAGTGACAGGCGGCCTTTCAAGGTCAGATAGCGTCGGATGTACCTGGACACAAGTTTGCAGGGTCTCTCCTGCCACTCATCCAGAACCTCCTTTGGAGCCAGCACCTACAAACCAACATAAAATAGTGACGTTACTCGAATATCTCGCGTAAGAACAACTTGAACAAGGGTTTTTTAACATCCAGACTTTAACAAAAGCATTTGATGTCCAAATGTGTTACAATCTTTCACAGGAAAGGCATATATACTGTAATTCAATTAGTCTGTGTCCAACAGTTTGGACAAAAGATTAATAAGTGAACATATTCAATATGGATTTTGTAGGATTCTGTGACATATTCTGTCGCAGATTATCGTTAGCAAAATATTATTACCAGTGTTAACTAGATTTTATTAAACACTGGAAAAACCCAGCTAAAAGTGGCAATAAAACATCGCTAATCCAGATTATACGGTGGGAACTACTAATCCATATTTGGTGATAATTTGGATTAACACAAAAGCCGATGATTGCTGGCAGGAACATGTGAGCATTAAAAACTGCAAGCATGACATCAAAAGATGTACTTCAGTTAACATACTGAGCTCATTAAGTAACAGAACATGACCTAACGAAGTAGAAAGCAACATATCTGAAAATATGTACCCAAGAACAAATCCTCATTCTGGTATTCAAACTGACAAAGGAGTGAAATTTTACTGAAAATATGTCAGACTTACTCTGCCATCTACCAGTGCAATAGTACAGTATTTGAAAAAAAATAAGACGACGACTGGGCCACAGAATTTTAGGAAGTTACCTCTTGGAAAATTAGGCACAAATGGTGGGATAATATTAAAATCAGTCTTGGAAACAAAGAGTTTGAAAGTGTGAAATAGATTTATCTGGCTCAGGACAGAGCCTAGAGGAGGAGGAGGCAGCACGCTCATCTGAAACACGTGGTAATCGTTACTCCTCGACACTGGCGCTCTACCGAGAATATCTCATTCTTTATTTGGCAGGACAATGCGACTATTCACAGACAAGACTGGAAAGGCGTACTCTTTGGAATGCACTAACATTCCAAAGGTGTTCTTCACCCCACATCACACAGGCCACTGTTGCATCTTGGGCCATTCTTGCATTGTGATCTGGGTCACTCCCGTGCAGCCTTCTAACACAATTCGATAAAACGTGACTGTTTCAAACCCCACAGTTTTTGAAGAATAACCTTGTCTAGTGTGTGTCCTCCTCCTGAATGTCTTAAAGGATGGTAATCCGAAGAGAGACGATAACAAAATTGCTGTAGGAGTCCTCACCTGATCCCCCTTCAGCCTGTCGACGAGCGTGACACAGATGACAGCCGACTTTATGCCGGCATGGTGCGTTAGGGCCGCAAATGATAGGGACTCCATCTCAATATTTATAACTCCTGCCTTGTGGATTTTGTTGAGGTATTCCATTTTGTCTGTCTCCGTGAAGTTGCAGAATGCACCGTCTAGCCGACCCTGACCTGAAATATTAGATTACTCACATACTTCCTGTAATAAAGTTGATTATTTCTGAAGATATAAATGAATCCACGCGTTTAATATTTTTTATTTAACTACAAATGGTGCTTGTTGATAACAGCAGCCATGAACAAAGTGTAAGCTCCAAGGCTACAAAAGACTTCGCGCACCATACCACGTAGCTCTCAGTCGACAGTATAGCATCGCTAGTTTTGGTACACTGTGAGTTCTGAGCTGTGTTCACTCTTAAGCATACATCAGAACATTGTGTTGCTGTGCTGTGAAATTGAATTTTTTTCTCAAGTTCATAATATCTCTTGTTTTCTGTGTTAAATTGCTGTTTGGTTGATGAAAGATTCCCAGGTTACAAGCCATATCAGGTGGCAGAACGATGAATAAACCACGTCTTCTGTCATTCGGGCACCTTACGTGGCTCGTAACCCGGTAAACTTTCATCAACTTCAGTCGCCATGAAACGTTTACTTTATGCCGTACGGTGATTTACAATATCAACCTCAACAACAGCAGCGAAGAGGCACAGACTGAGAAAATCTGCCACTGGCAGCCACAATTAGAGGACTATATAAAACACGTACGAGTTCTTTTAAGGAAATTTCCGAACAACACAAACATTTCAGGAATATAAATTTCCGCATAGCTAGTAAAGAAGGTACCAAACCAACTACTTAGTTGTATTATGTGACATGGTCCCAGTTGCAGTTCATGGAACACAAACATACACAGAATTTTCTCATTTTTTTTAAACTGAAAAATGTATTTAGGTGAGGTTTTCAAAAATATGCAGTCTGAAACTTTAGCCATACACCATGTTTCAAAAGTAGCTTTACAACTTTGCAGGAGGATATAAATTTATTTAAAGAACGTGCGCAATATTTTTAAATGCACAAATTTAGCCAAACACATCAAGTTTCATGCACATAAACTGTAGTACCGAAAACCGTGTTTCTGAAGACGCCGTGGAACAGATTAGGGAGAGCTTCGCTCGAAGTCCACGCAAGTCAACGAGACGTGCATCCCGGGAAAGCGGGATTCCACATGTGACTGTGTGGCGAGTGTTACGAAGACGTTTACACTTAAGAGCGTACAGATTATGCATGGTGCGAGCCATTTCGGATGGTGATAAACTGGCTCGTAAGGAATTTTGTAAGGAAATGTTGCGGCGGGTTGAAGACGACGAAGGATTTCTGGACTCAGTAATTTTCAGTGACGAAAGCACGTTCCATGTCACTGGTAAGGTCAACACGTGCCTTCCTGGAACATGTTCGTGACAATCCAAAAGTTAATGTGTTTTGCGCCCTCAGCAAAGATAAAGTGTACGGCCCCTTTTTTTTTTATAGAGAAGACCATAACCAGCATTGTGTATCTGGACATGCTCCAACAGTTCCTCATTCCTCAACGAAGATGACCAGGAAGGACGCATTCACTTCCAGCAAGACGGTGCACCCCCTCATTACCTCGGAGAAGTGCGCGAGTACCACAGCAACCGTTTCCCAGGTCGGTGGATTGGTCGGGCCGCACCAATATCACGGCCACCTCGCTCCCCGCATCCAACACCTTTAGATTTTTTCTTGTGGGGATTTGCTAAAGATCGAGTGTACGTGCCACCCTTACCTGCAAATGTGGCTGAACTCCGAACTCGAATTACCACCGCAGTTGCTGAAGTGACACCAGAGATGCTACACCGCGTGTGGCAAGATATTGACTACAGATGGGACGTCTGCCGCATGACAAATGGAAGTCACATTGAACCATAAAAATCCGATGGACATAAAACATGAAATGTTTGACTACATTTCTATGTTCTGAAATTATATGTTTCTCCTATCAGTTGACCAATATCTCGCCCTCAAGTTGTAAAGCCACTTTTGAAACACGCTGTATTTTGTAGTCATATCGTAGGTGGCAGGAGGCATAGATCAGATAACAGTAAGAACTTTCTTAACCCCAGTGCCAGAGGGAGGTAAACCATCAGTTTAATGCTTACCTCCAAGGGTAAATGAGAAATGTATAAAGAATTCTGGGAGGAAATCCCTTGGAAAGAAGGAAAGGTAACTTTTCTTAGAACTAGGTCGAATGGCAAAGTTCTTGACAGGACAGTTACCTTCGTAAAAGTCGTACGTGCACATCGTTTTTCCTATGACAGTATCATACGGGTCCTCACGCTCAGACAAGGCAAACAGTTCCTGTCCCACCTCCTTGTCCAGTTTTGCAGGTCTCCTCACCAGCTGCCCCAACACTGGCTGAAACACATACAGCCATTGTTAAGATACAGGTGTGGTGAGGTATTTTTATCTGAAACACGACCATGGAAACAAATCATGCCCCGCCCACCTCCCCATATAACAGAATGTGGTTACTCTGCCATGCAGGTCAGGACGGGAGTGGAGAACTGTTTACTTATGGACTGTATGTGACTACATAGGCAATTCATCTGTGAGATTGCTGGTTCGAGCATCCAAGTTTGACTCTCGTCAAGTATCGGGACTCCCAAAACTTAGAGTGTAGAATTTTATCACTTTTGTCTTCTTGTCCATGCTGTTAATGAGGGTGTAATAATTAATAAAGCGCCTTGCTTATTCCATGCAGCAGAGTCGTTCCTGAGAAGCCAACAGTCGCTCAATAAATTACCAGCATTTTACAGAATCCAAAGGTTCATTACCACATTCATAAGAGACCGCCACTGGTCCCTGTCCTGGGTCAGATGAATCCAGTCCATACCACCCCATCCTAATGCTCCAAGATCCTTTTTTAATATTATGCTCCCACCTATGTCTAGATTTCCTTCCTTCTGGTTTGCCCACCAAAACCCTCAATGCATTCCTCTTCTATCCCATGCGGGCTACATGCCCTGCCCACCTCATCCTCCTTAACCTCATTAGTCTAATTAAAACTGGCGAGGAGTACAACTTATGAAGCCCCTCATTATGCAACTTGTAATAAAGAACCACATTACTGACATCGGATTATCATTTCGTGCTGGGAAAAATGCAGGAGTTACCAGTTCGAGGAAAGGCTGCATCATCCCGTCCAGCGCGCTCTCTGAGATGACGACGGTGCCGCCTTCCAACCCGATGCCACCGCAAGTCCCGATGCGGAAGAACACGGGATCATGGACACGCGCGTGGTACATTAGCTTGATGACTTCGTGCAGCAGGATACCGACGGAGGGGATTCCCATGCCGTGCTGCAGCACAAGCACAAGACACAGTGCGTCCACTGACAAAGTTAAACGCAATTTTCATTCCAGAGCTCCCGGCAGGAACTGCATGACGCCGCCAAGGGCTAACAGCAACTGCCGTCAAAATTATTCGTAAAACAATGCAGCTGTGTCAAACATTGTGTTAAGTACCGGTTATTGTTCTGTATATTGTTGAATTGCATGCTGTTCTATACGAATCGTGAATCGTATGTGAAATTGTTTCCGCATTGAATATGGGCCCAAAACTTCGTTTAGCGTTCATTTCACACCACACGCCAACTGAATGTGGATTAACAGGACACAGTTGCAATATTGTGCCAGTAACTTTTTTGGAGCACTGTTGCCGGTGATTCATGCAGTTCTGGCCGAGAACTGGGAAGATACAGACAGTTTTATGTAACTGTGTCTGCGAAAGCACTTAAAGTGCTTATATATTTTGTAATTATTTAAATGCAACTGAATACTTACAATTGCTGGTATATATTGTGAATTTCTAAGAGTGTAAAGCGGGTCTATTTGAGGTTAGGTTAAGCATTCTCCCGTGCTGTGCCTTCAGTGGCAGCACTACGCTTCCGGTTCCGCCATTAAATAAAAGTGAAGGACCTCTATGCGTGTGTGTGAAAGCAGGTGGGTAAACATGTCGAAGCCGATGCACCTACTGGACCCATCGGCCATCCCCCATCATACGGGAAAGACAGAATGCCAACTTCTGAACGAAAAAGTTCGCAATGTTCATATTTGAAACAACCCAAATAGCCCCGCCTTACTGCAAACAACTGTTCTTTCATAATTAATCAACAATACGACGTAGTTAACAAACCGCACGTATTTCAACACGCAAGACATTACACAGTAAGAACGCATGAAAGCCATAGACGTTCCCCTCAACTCGGGGTGACCCATTAACGCGTCTTTCTCGCGACTGCACCTCATTTTAGAAATGCCATAGAATAAGGAGACGCGTGTGGAAATCGAGCATTTAAAGCAAACAGGGGTGTATAAACCAATATAATGTGTTGGACTTTCTTCTTGGAAGAAGATGGCTGTCTACTGGGATGTTCCGCCGTGTAGTCTGGTTGAAGTTTACCGACGTTTCAGAGACCCTTACAGTGAATACAAAATAACTAAGAGTTTCGTTAACTGTTACAAATACACGTATGGAACAAAGGGGGAGGCCGGGAAACGACATAGTTATTCCTTGTAAAGTACCGGACGTGAAATTATTACGTTTAGTCTAGTGTATACAAGACAGCGTGTGAAAATGTCATGGAAATTAAAAGGGGAAACATGTTCTTAGTAAAACGATCCATGCGCAGACAAGACTGTTTGCCGTCTTGCTCGTTCAATTTCTCCTTCCCATTTGACTGTGACACAGCTCGAGCTCGTAGTTATTTTGCGTCCAATGTACTGATTCCATCACCTTAAACTTCTACCACACTACGATGTGCAACATCCCAGAAGGCAGCCATCTTTAAGTCTGCCACGACAATTTCAAATCTCACCTACTTCTAACAAGATTTTTCATTTGTCGAGCAGGCAGGCAACCTCACAGAAAAACATGTCCCTTCGCGTCTGTGGACATAGTAACATTGTGTTTGTAACACTGAGAAACTCACGCTGATGGAGAGGACAGGCCCCACTTTGTACATGGAGTACCTGTAGGAGTACTGGCTGATGTCCTGCAGCGTTGTACCGGTCGGCAGCTTGTGTCCGATCTGTTCCATGATGTAATAGGCGAACTGTTCCATCCGCTTTGGAGTCCCGCCCATACAGACAAACTGCAACATCGCACCGTCTCGAAAATTCAATTGCACTTCGCGTACAGACCTGCATGCACCATCGTTAATACGGAGTATGTATTAAAATAAAGCCTTTCAAATGTTAAGTCCACCTGTAACCAGCTCCTTATTGAGAATGTATTCCACTCAGTCAATAAATCCTCCTCTGCCTTTCATGGAAACTCTCTGTTTCTGGTAAAAATCAAACATACTTTCCATCTATGCCTACGTCTTGAAAGTGGCCTCTTCCCTTCAGGTTTGCAAACCAATGAGTAAAAGTACAGGAACTGTTGAAGACATGGCTGTGGAACCTCCTGAGAGGTGTCTTCAGCCTTTCCTCTGGGCGTTATCAATTGCCTGAAGTGAAATGTTCGAGTAAAATACAGAACGTGACTTCTTCAGGGTGGCGGACGTTAGGAATACGAAAACACGGGCACATCTGATAAAGTTGGATGAAATGGTCATTAGGAACGTAATATATACCTTCTCGTTTATTGAATGACACCTCATGATTTGCATAGATTACTATAGAACCAAATAACATTCATCGAGAAATACGAAAGCGACGTCACCTATTTGAGGTTAGGTTACAGTATTCTTGTACAAGGACTGGCCTAGGCCACGCAATTACGTGATCTGCGTTTTCTGAGGTGTATAAAGGCCACTCGCCAGGTCTAGGTACTAGTGCGGAACGTATTACCAGGGTCTCGTACCCCTGAAACGTATGCCTACCGCTTTGTACGTCATCAACTGATAAACTGCCCGATGGTGCGCGGTAGACTGTGCTTCTTACGAACTCCTGAAGTCTTGTCTTCAAAATCCCGGTTACAACGACCGTTTTTCGTGGTTTTCTTAATGATCCGACCTCTTTCGATAAAATTCTGATGCTAGACTAGACTTACGCTCTATTCTGTTCAGATGATATGAACTAAAATGGTACATCTTATGCCGGTGTTGCGACGATAGGCGTCTCTACTCTCAGCGTCGTATCCGATGGCGAAAGTTCGTTTGGGTGTATGTTAGGTTAGGTTAGGTTGGGTTAGGTTGGGTTGGGTTAGGTTAGGTTGGGTTAGGTTAGGTTGGGTTAGGTTAGGTTGGGTTAGGTTAGGTTGGGTTAGGTTAGGTTGGGTTAGGTTAGGTTGGGTTAGGTTAGGTTGGGTTAGGTTAGGTTGGGTTAGGTTAGGTTGGGTTAGGTTAG